GAAATCGGGCAAAGAGTACAAAATTTCACGAAATATTCGTCGCCTATATATATTGCTTTAACATATACTGCAAATATACTGTACATATACCCGTCGACGTCTTCCTGTTAATGTCATGAGAAAATATACCGAGAATACACTGATAATATACCGTCGAACGTCTTCCTGTTAATGCCATGAGAAAATAAACCGAAAAGATATTGATAGTATACATATTCTAATGATACAAATCAACTGAACACAAACAAAATGATACAAATAAGCAATTCTCATTCCTCCCAAAAGACTAATAATATACTGAAGAAAATCAATCCGACCGAAACAAACATTCGTCAACAAAAAAAATTGCTAATATACTAAACATAAGCTTATTTTTTGGCAGGGACGCGGGTCATATACTGTACATATACTATACATATACTGTACATATACTCTAATCCAAAAATTTGTCCAAAAACAAAAATAAAAACATATACTATACATATACTATAGTTATACTGAACATATACTCCAAAATAATCAAACGAAAAAATTCTCAAAAAAGATGTCATGATTTTCTTCTTCTTCAGGGCCTCGGGTGTTTTGACCTCGCCCAGCCTCTTCGTCTTCTTCTTCGCTAATTTCAATTTCAAACTTGAACTAATTAACATCTACGACACACGCAACCATCGCCGAGGATCTCCATCCGCGAGTCACCGAACACGCGAGGTTTGCAACCGCCGCGAACCACCGCCGGCGTCCGTTCACGTTTATCCTCCGAATTGGTTGTTAAAAAGACTTGGCTGCCTTCCGTTCTACATATTTTCAACAACATCATTATCATGAAAAAGGATAGATTAATGAAATTTAACAAAAAATTATAATGGGTAACAAAAATGGATAGATTAATGAAATTTGCCCATCAAACATCAAACCACAAGTAGAAAAACGTATCCAACCGATGGAGATTAGGCGGTCAGCGACGGGGATGACTAGGTGGGTGGAGGCAGAGCGGCGAAGGAGCGGTGGGGGGAGGGAAAAGATGAGAGAGAGAGAAGAGAGAAGAAGAATAGAGAAGGGAAAAGAGAGAGAAGTCGTATAATTAAGATCCCATTAAATCTGCTTTTACCATATTTAAAAACAATTATCTGTTACTCAATAATCTAGTATGTTTGCAAATAAATATGATATTTTTAGTTAATTTGCAAATAAATATATATGAGTTGTAAATATGTAATAAAAATGTTAATGAGTAGTGAAGGATGTAATTTCCTCAGGAAAAAATAAGTGTAAAAAGAGATAATAAAATGGGCTTGACCTCTCAAATACACACCTATTATGTGCTGGGCCGGGCGGATCGGGGCGGGGCGAATATCTGGACTTGGACCTTCCCCGTATAGTGACGGGGCGGACCCAATCTGGCCCGTTTTAGGTAACGGGCCAAGTCCAACCCGCCCCAAAGACTGCAGGCCGGGCCAGTTCGGGTCGGGTCCAAGCCAAATTGCCATCCTAGGTGGAAATTTTGTAAAACTGTTGGTGGAGAGTTGAGATAATGTCGGGCTAAGGTTGAAAAGATTAATTTATGATCATAAATTAGCTAACTGAATTAAATTAGTAGACTTACATATTAGTAGAATACATACAATTGTGTATTTGGCTTTCTATTTGTGCTTTCATTAAACAATGTTTTGATTTAGATTTTTGGGATGTGTTCGAGGGACAAGGATGGTCGCACAATTTTACATAAATTACCTGCTACCTTGGAACTACTGATATTGGTGATTTCGTATTTAGGAGGCTCTGTTGATAAGTTTGCTTTTGCCGGACTCAATATTGGTGAAATTCCACTAATTTGGGCAAACTAGAATTCAGGTTAGTCCTTTTTACAGAACATATAATTTTGTGTTGTATACTTGTATATATGATTTTGAACACCTTAAGACCATATAGTTATACTAGTGCGTGGCCCGTGCATCGCACGGGAAAACAATATTTTGATTTTATTATAAATTAAATAAACAAATAACAATAATCATGATTTACTCATTATTTTTAAATTAAACCGGGTTGGACACAGTTTAATCGGATGACCGAGAACCAGTTTATAACCAGTCTAGTGCGCTTGAATAAAATATTTGCTATCGAATCCTTCAACACTAGTCTGTTGGACTGGTAGGATCGATACGATTTTCTAAACAATTTTTGTTACATTAAAAATTATTTTAAATAAAATTACATATTTAAATAAAATATAGATTTATAAATTATTTACCAATTAGTTTAAACATTTGAATTTATAAATTATTTAGATATTTAAGTAACACTTTTTATTTAAATTAATTACAAAAAGTACTATATATATAAGCATTATTTATTAAAATCTGAACAACCATGAATGATTTAATAAAATAACTTGATCGTTTCGATGATGGTCCGGTTCTGAAAACCTTATATTTACCGTTCGTTAATAAAAAAATATAATAAAATTATTATTTTGTTCACATAAATAATAATAAAATGATATATAAATATTCATAAATCATTCATCATGTTGTCATAAAAGTATTGTTAATATGATTATTTGAAGTTTGGACTACATCACATTCACGTAATAAAGTATTTTCAATATTAAAATTCATATTTAGGTTCAATAATCGATTTGGTCTGGTCAAACTGATACATAACTTAGTTACCTGAGACCAACCAAGTTGTGTCAAGTTTTTTTACTATTTTTAATATCAACTAAAAGTAATTCAATCAACGTGGGCAGTACCCTAATTCAATCACCCTATTGATCCAAAGTAATTTCCTTATTTTCGTTAAATATAATATTTAATTTTAGAAATAAAAAAATTTTATGATTCATATGTCTACACCAAATGATAGTATATTAAGATTATAAATTATATATCTAAAGATAAATTATTTATTTTTATTTTATGCATATTAATAAAAAATAAACATAGTAATTTAAAAAAAAATCAAGATTAATTAATTGAGTATGCAATTTAAAGAATATTTTTAGCGTTCAATATATATATATATATATATATTTAACATGATTGAATTTTTTGATTAGAATATATATATTTAAAATGATTTTATTATTAAAACTCAAAAGAAAAGATGCCATAAAGATTAAAACTTTAAAAGTTTGTAACCATTAATTTAGAAACCATCCGATTTTAAATGATTTATAATTTTTGAAACAGGACACGTGCATCTAAAACCCATTAATTAAAGAATCATCCAACTTTTTGATAATGAATTAAAATTAAAATGTAAAATAAAGAAGTTGCTGAAAATAGTATATAATAAATGTGATTTGACTTTTCCTTACAACTATTTATGATAAATGTTAATTCTTATTATATATATATAGATTCCATAATTTTAATGTTAAGAGGCACATCAACACCTCCTAACACCTCCTAAGACTATGTTTATCCGTGACCCACCCATTGGGTCACGGGAATAAGACAAAAAAAAAATAAAAAAAAAAAATAAATAAAAGGTCACAACTTTCAGCAACCCAAGTCACATGATGACCTCGGGTCGTGACCGATTATTGTATAGGAATGGGACACTTGTCTCATTTTTATTGTATAAGTGTATTTTTTTTGTTTCTAAAAAAAATAAAAAAAATACTAAAATTCGTATTTTTTCATTCTCTACAAATAGAGACCACACTTGATATATTTTAGAACACAATTGTAACATTTAAATAAATTAAAATAAAATAAATATTTAAGTTGGGTTGGGTTGGGGATAAAGATAAATTGGATTGGAAGATTGAGTTGTGTAGATGGAGGAGAGAGAAATAATTTTTAATTATTAGGTTGGGTTGGGTTGGGTTGAGGATAAAGATAGTCTAAGGTTCTCAATCCCAATGCTATGTTGATGTGTCTATTGTCATTAAAATTGTGGGTTGTCTCTCTTACAATGCCTATTAGCTCTAACAATGATGTCACTTTTAGCTTGCTTTGTTTATTTAGATTTATGGTATTTAACGCTAGCTTATTTAGAGGTTACCATAAGTAGAGAAGAACGACTTTTGAAACAACGCCCAAGCGCATTTCATATTCTTGTATCGAGAAGATTAAGAATTTCAAGGTTCAACTTTAGATATATATTAATCTTAGTACTTTGCCAAAGACTTTCTATAATTTAATAATTCTGTAATATTTTCTGTAATATTAAGAAGAAATTCATATAGAAGGAGATGAACTAAGGGGAGCTCCGATGAGAGAGAACGAGAGAGAGAGATTGCAGAGAGGAGAGAATATTTTTGGCATAACAAATTGCCACATTTTTCATTCATTCTTCATACTTAACCAAATGGTTTTGGCCCTGGGCACACAACTTTTCACTCACTTGGGTAAAAGACTAACCCCAAGACATAATAACAATAACATCAAGAAACAATTGAAAAATATAACTAAGGCGTGTTTTTTTATGTTGCTGCCACGTGTACGCTCAGATTCTCCTCTCCTAAATCGTAATCTACAACCTCGGTTGCTCCACGTGTCGTCATCTCGTCGCTAAAATTTTCAACCCTAACTCGATCTCTTGTCTGAAATTTCCCCATTTCTTCCCCGATGCATTTCTACTGTTCTTCTCATTCTTCTTCAATCTTCAATTACATGCTTATTAACTTCCAATTAGTTTCTAAACATTTTTGTCCCCCATATTAATTTACTAATTTTAAAGATTTATACCATATACTCCCTCTGTTTCAAATTAGATGTCGTTTTGACTTTTTTGATTCATTCATTTTGTTATGTATCTAGACATTAAATATGTCTAGATACGTAGCAAAATGGATGAATCAAAAAAGTCAAAACGACATTTAATAAGAAACGGAGGGAGTAAATTTTAACTTTATTATCGACTAAATTGGGGACATTTGTGCACGCTAACCCCACTAGTTATTGCAACACAAATATAGGGAAAGTTGCAAACTAAAATCTGTGATATTAGGTGATTTATATATTGTATTTAGATTACAAAGATTTGTGGTGAATGGTGATGGGTTTAGTGAGTGTGGATAAAACGTGCCCTGAATCCACCAATCAGCTTTCATAGAAATCCCACCACTACTCTTTCTCCACCCCAAATAAAAATATAAATAATAAAACTAAATAGACAAACGCATCTATCAGAGCAGAGCTCGCGGCGACCTCATATCCTATGTCTGCTTCCTAAACATCAATCCCACATAAAAATCGCACACAAAACCCTTAATCCTAAATTTCCCTGATTTTTAGGGTTTTCGGATGCGATTCACTAGAATTTAATCGGTGCTGGAATTAATTGGTTTATCGGCAGCGATAAAGTTATATAAATGGCCGTGTCGAGTGCGCTTGTGGGTGCAAAGCTCGATGCCCTGTTGGTTGGCAATACGGCGTCGTCTTCGTTATCTGCGTCCGCATCACCGGCTCAGATTGGCTTGCTCGGCAAGCCGGCCGCTGTTCGGGCCAAGCGAGCCGCGTTGATCCATAGGAATTCTGGAATTTTCAGGTGCGAGGCTTCTCGCGATGCTCTTGTTCAGACCGAGAAGGTGGACCCCATCAATGCAGCTTCTTCGGCATCGGCCTCGAGCCTCACCGCTCTGGAGCAGCTCAAGGCGTCCGCAGCTGACAGTATGCTCCCCCTTGAATTTTGGCTTATTTTCTTTACTTATGTTTTCTTCTTTCTAGTTTGATTCGCTATTGTATTGAGATGTGATGAATGAATTGACCTCTGGATCTGTGAGTTCTGAGCATGTTCGTTAATGTCAAATTGTATTCAGTTGAGAATGATTTTCAGAATAACTGGATCTAAGTCTGCTGCAGCGTTTTGTTTTATTTTTCTGCTCCTCACTGCTATTCTTATGGGAGCTGGCATGTTATAGGTGTGAGGATGAATGTATGCAACCGGTAGTACCAAAAATTCCAGCTTTCTGAGAAGAATGCCACTTTTTTCCTTTCCCCAGTAGCTAACTTGTTTGATCCTATCTCCAAGTGTGCATATAGTTAGTGAAAAGTACTTTCCTGGATAAAACAGATTTCCTGTTGAGGATAATTTTGCGGTTGTGCCACTGGTTGTCATGAGATCAAGTGGTTTTGCTTCAAATTGATTGGGAAAAGAAAATAGAAATAAAGAATTAAAGATAAACAAGAATAAAAAAGTACGGGGAGTAATGAAAGAAGCTTATTTGTGACAATTATGTCTTTCTCTTAGTTGATAGGTTGAGGAATAAGGAATGGTGCAGATGCTTTTCCTGTTTCGGTTAATCATTGTAGTATAGAAATAATGAAAAATTGCTTATGATTTCTGGATACTGGTCAATTTTGTTCACTAGTTGGACCACAAACTTCTTCTCAGTTGATTTTAAACGGTCTTGATTCTTGATATATTGTTTAATGAATTTCGTGCAGGATACACAAAAGAAAGAAGCAGTATAGTGGTAATTGGTCTTAGCATCCATACAGCACCCGTAGAAATGCGTGAGAAACTCGTTATTCCTGAAGCCGAGTGGCCCCGAGCTATTGGCGAGCTTTGCGGTTTGAATCATATAGAAGAAGCTGCTGTTCTTAGTACCTGCAATCGGATGGAAATCTATGTTGTTGCCCTTTCTAGGCATCGAGGTGTTAAAGAAGTTACCGAGTGGATGTCAAAGGTAGAGTTTTATTGTGAATCTTGCAAATTTAATCTTACCATATTAACTATGTATGTCTGTGTTTGTTTCTTGGAAGTCAATATATGGAACTATACAACGAACACCTTGATCAACAGGAATTATTTACACCTACTGGATGCTGAAAAAATGTGGTTATTAGTAAAGTAGAACCAGAATGTTCTGTTTCTTGTGTTATTTACCGTCTTGGATATTACCGGAGTTGCCTTAACGTTTCCAAAACTGTTTTGATCAATAATACTCCCATGTTTTTGCAAACTCTCCAAGGTGGAGTTGGAAAAAGTACCCTTTCTGGCCATACTGATTAAAAAAATGGATTTCCAAAATCTCGTAAAAGAGCTTCTCAAAGTTCCCCGTCGTGCTCGACAACGAAGCGCAGTTTGATGGTAAGACGCTTCACCTATGACCGACAGGTCATGGGTTCGAGTCGAGGAGGCGAAGTGGGACTTAAAGACTATAACTACTAGTCAACCGCTACTATCGTATCACCTCAACAAACCTCACTCGTATTTTCTCAAATATTCCAACGACATTACGATTTGCGCGCACGCTAAAATTTTACCTATCATCTCCTCCCACAGACGAGCGGCATCCCCATCACCGACATCTGCGAGCACCGATTCCTCCTCTACGACAACGACGCTACCCAACACATCTTCGAGGTCTCGGCCGGCCTCGACTCTCTCGTTCTCGGCGAGGGCCAGATCTTATCCCAAGTAAAGCAAGTAGTAAAAACCGGGCAAGGCGTGGTCGGGTTCGGCCGCAACATCAGCGGCCTCTTCAAGCACGCCATCACCGTCGGCAAGCGCGTCCGCTCCGAGACCAACATCTCCGCGGGTGCCGTCTCCGTGAGCTCCGCGGCCGTCGAGCTTGCCCTCTCCAAGCTCCCTCCCAACGCCCACTCCGCCTCATCCCGGTTCCTCCTCGTCGGCGCCGGGAAAATGGGCAAGCTCGTCGTGAAGCACCTCGCCGCAAAAGGATGCCCGCGCGTCGTCGTCGTGAACCGTTCCGAATCCCGCGTGTCGTCCATCCGCGACGAGATTAAAGAAATTGAGGTCGTTTACAAGCCGCTCGACGAGATGATGGCGTGCGCGGCCGAGGCGGACGTGATCTTCACGAGCACGGCCTCCGAGACGTTGCTTTTTACTAAAGATGACGTGGCGGGCCTTGTCCCGGGCCCGAGGATGTTTGTTGACATATCGGTGCCGAGGAATGTGGGGGCGTGTGTTGGGGAGGTGGGGCCCGCGGTGTACAATGTGGATGATTTGAGGGAAGTTGTGGCGGCGAACAAGGAGGATCGGGCGCGTAAGGCGAGGGAGGCTTGGGCGATTATAGCGGAGGAGTCGGGGAAGTTTGCGGCTTGGAGGGATTCGCTGGAGACGGTGCCTACTATTAAGAAGCTGAGGGCTTATGCGGAGAGGATAAGGGCGGCTGAGCTGGAAAAGTGTTTGTCGAGGATGGGGGAAGATTTGCCGAATAAGGCGAGGAAGGCGGTGGATGATCTTAGCCGGGGGATTGTGAATAAGTTGTTGCATGGGCCAATGCAGCACTTGAGGTGTGATGGGAGTGATAGTCGGACGCTGGGCGAGACGCTGGAGAATATGCACGCGCTGAATCGGATGTTTGATTTGGAGACTGAAGTGTCGGTTCTGGAGCAGAAGATTCGGGCCAAGGTGGAGCAGGTGAAAAAGTGATTGTTTTGAGTCACCTCTTGTTTTGTTTTTCTTCTCTTTACGTGTGTGAATAAGCGGGGACACTGCATGAGATGAGAAGTGTAATTTTATTCTTTTTTTTTTTTTCTTTTTTNTCTATAGAGGGAATGTTGATCAGGTTAGATTTTTTTAATTGGAAAATCTTTCCTGGTTGGTTATGTTTGTCTTGAAAAGTTAACCAAAATGCCTCGAAATGGTGTACGCTGTGAGGATGTGAGCTTCATCCATGTACCGATGATTTATTCTGGGTGTAACAGTATTTCAAACCTTTAACTTGAATTTAATTTACCTTTTGCATTTCCTTTCTTTATTCTTTCTATATAGTTAATTTACCTTGAAGTTCATTTACCTTTTGTTTTCTCTTCTTTCTCCTCGGCGATTTGAACCTCTCAAAACCCTTGTCTTCTCTTCGGCCGCTCTTTAGCGTCCTTGATGCCAACGGACATGTAGTTCATCCCGGGGCCAGCGACGTGGCTTTGGTTTTCTTTTGTTCCATTTTCTTGTGTGGATTTCGAATTCTTCGGATTTGCAAGGGCGGGTGAGCGTGGTCGGAAGGTGCCAGTGGTTGTGTTCGACGGACGCCGTCGGCGGCCTTGCTGCGGTCGGAGCCTTGGTTCACCCCTTTTTTCGGCCTTCCCTTGTGTTGGGAAGGAGGGATCCTCCGACGATAGTGGTGCAGTGGTGTGGCAGCTCTGGTCCAACATTTTAACTCAACTACTCTTTGTAACTCAACTTTAATTCAACTTCACTATCACCATTATTATCAATATAATCAAATAATATCAATCAGTCTTCATACACACCACATCAACCTTAATTCACTATTCGTCCACTCACATTATTTTAACTAATCATCACTTTAAATCATCTCTCTCCTACTTTTACATCAAATCAATTTAATTATTTTATTTTAAATATCTATATATATAATAAGAATTACCATTTACCAAAAATAGTAGCAAAGAAATTGGTTAAAATTTAATGCATCCTATAAATAGTAAGTTTTATTACTTTTCTTATTTTTTTTTTTTAAAAAATCATACAACATTAAATTCTACCTTAAATTTCGTGCTTTAGTTCATTTTATTATTTAAAAAATCCGTCGAAGATTTATTAAGCGTGTATGTTTTTATTTTTATTTTTTTTCTTAGAAACAACGAACAACATTAAAATCTCGGTCTCTATATTTTTAAAATCTCAATTCAAAATATAACAAAATTTTTAGAATCTCGGTATTTATATTTGTCACTTTAAAAAAAATATTGAACGCTAAAAATATTCTTTAAATTGCATAATCAATCAATTAATCTTAATTTTTTGAAAAAATTACTGTGTTTATTTTTTAGTAATATGCATAAAGTAAAAATAATTAATTCATCTTTAGATATATATAATTTATTATCTTAATATACTATCATTTGGTGTAGACATTTATTATATGAATCATAAAATATTTTTATTTCATAAAATTAAATATATTTAAAGAAAATAAGAAAATTTCTTCGGATCAATCGGGTGATTGAATTAGGGTACTGCCCAAGTTGATTGAATTACTTTTAAGTGATATTTAAAATAGTCAAAAAACTTGACACAACTTGGTTGGTCCCAAGTGACTAAGTTATGTATCAGTTCGACCACACCAAATCGATTATTGAACCAAAATATAAATTTTATATTGAAAATATTATTACGTGAATGTGATTTAGTCCAAACTTCAAATAATCGTATTAACAATACTTTTATGACAACATGTTTTATGATTTATGAATATTTATATATCATTTTATTATTATTTATGTGAATTAAATAATATTTATTAATGTATAGTAAATATAAGGTTTTCAGAACTTCACCGTCATCCAAGCGATCAAACTATTTTATTAAATCATTTGTGGTTTGTTCAGATTTTAATTTATAAACATTTTAATATGTGTATATATATATATATATATAAATATAAATTCAAATAAAATGTGTTACTTAGATATCTAAACAATTTATAAATTCAAATGTTTAAACTTATTGAAAAATAATTTATAAATATCCATTTTATTTAAATATGTAATTTTATTTAAAATAATTTAAATAGAACAAAATTTATTTGGAAAATTGTATCGATCCTACCAGTCCAATCGACTGGTGTTGACGGATTCGAGAGCAAATATTTTATTCAACCGAACTAGACTGGTTATAAACCGGTGCTCGGTCCATCCAGTCGGACTGTGTCTAACCCGGTTTAATTTAAAAACAATGGATAAATAATGATTAATGTTATTTATATATTTTATTTATAATACTATCGTAATATTGTTTTGTCGTGTATCGCACGGGCCATGCACTAGTTATTTTAATATACCACTAACAACAAACCATAGTATCTTTTTCAAAATAAACCAAACCAAATCAAAAAATCCAAACAAAACTATTTTTTTTTATATCCAAACATGCTCTAAAATACTAAACAAACTCCCACGAGTGGAGGATAAAGAAACTCCCACGAGTGGATAACAAAAGCTCCTAACAGAAGAATNGAAGCCTAAAACACCCATACAAAACAAAAACAGTCTAAGATTTAGCCTAAACTAACGCCCTCCGCACAAGACAGAAACACCCAGCACCACCACAACCTGAGCCAACACCCAATGAGATCTACCGAGAAGAACCCACACGGTCTACGGCCCAACACATCAAGTCTAGAAACCCCCTTAACGGCTAACTAGACCCGGGTCAACAGAATAGCTAGCTTATATGATAAAAGTATTAGAAAATGCTACATGTACATAATAAATGTACATAACACTCACATAGAGTAGAGTTAACTTGATTTTTTATTTTTGGTGGGTCTCACTCAATGTGAGTGTTATGTACACCCCTATGTACAATTTTATGTACTTATAGCATTACTCAAAAGTATTTGGTAAAGTTATTTGATAAGCTAGTTGAAATTGAAATTTCAACGAGTTTATTTAAAAAACTTCTCAAGGAAAATAAATACCTTTGGGCGAACTCGATAACACATCCAAGTCCGGCAGAAAGATACATAGCCAAACAACCTCTTTCGATGCTTCAAAAGTTGCGACATACTCAGCTTCCATTGTAGAGTCCGCCACACATTTATGCTTGACACCCGCCATTCTGTGACTCTACCTCCCAGAGTAAACACATACCCTGAGGTAGATATACTTTTCTCCCAGTCTCACTGAAAGTCGAAATCAGTGTAACTCACAAGAGTCAATTGGCTCGCCTGGTAGACCATCATATAGTCCTTGGTCCTCTTCAGGTGCTATCTATATGCTTTACCCAAGTTAAATTACCTTGTCCCTGGTTACTTTGATACATGCTTATCATGCCTACCACATAACAGATATATAACCTCGTATACAACATCGCATACATGAGTCTTCCTAATGCCGATGCATAAGGAATCTCTCCCATGTCATCTATCTCTTGAGCCGTCTTGGGAGATATCTCCTTAGATAGTGAAATTCCATGTCGAAAATGTCTAGTTTATTTACATGGTCAATGTAAAATAAAAATCCTCCGTGATTCATTCAATACACTGCTAGTGTACTAGAGTAATTCATTAGTCAACATCAATTAATTTTAAAATTATACTACAACCGTTCACGATAGTTAGCTCAATTCATCAAGATTGTGGACCATATTTTATATTTTACAACAAACTGACAGTATAATCTTCTGTTCAACAAGATAAACTACAATGTAAATAATAAAACAATTTGCATCACTATGTAAATACTTAACTAATTTTGATTCTCAATTTGAAAGTTGGTTTAAACTAAAACAAAACTTTGAGTATATCAACCAATATAAAAGACAAAACACAGTAACCAAAGAGAAGTCACTTTAACCAAAGTAAAATCTATTACTCAAAGCAATTCATTTTGCAGACCATACAAGAGAAACGTATTCAAGTTGTCTTTGAGTTCTCTAAAAACAAATGAATATAGGCATTCATAATACTACCTCTTTTTTAAATTAGATGTCGTTTTGACTTTTTTGATTCATCCATTTTGCTACGTATCTAGACATATTAATGTCTAGATACGTAGCAAAATGGATGAATCAAAAAAGTCAAAACGACATCTAATTTGAATAGGAGGGAGTATGTACGTTAAACTAACTTATTGAAATCCGAATACACTAGCATGCATGATGCAAAATCGTAAAATTGGACGAATAAGTTTCCCTTGAATTTCAAACTTTGGCCTAATTAATGTGGTCACTTTTGGAATTTCCCGGCGTCTGCTCAAATTTTCCTTGGAAATTGCAGCAAAATTTCAAAAATGGTCCACTATGCTGGTCATTTTTCGAAAAAGGTCCATCATATAGGGCATCATCGAGAATGGTACACTAAGTTGTCACTTTAATCAAAATTCGTACAACTACCAACATAGTGTATTTAGTTGTCATTTTCAGTACACTATGTTGGATTAAATTGACAATTTAGTGGATCATTTTCTATGACACCCTATATGATAGACATTTTTTCTAGAAATAGTTTCTAACCAATATAGTGTACTAAAAATGAAATTCAGCCAAAAATTGCTGATTAAAACTCGTCTATGCCTTCAAACTTTAGTCTCTTCCACCCAGAAGGTAAAATGGAAACGAAAAAAGAAAAACAAGAATGCGAAATTCATTTTTCCAGCATAGAAGCTGAGAATCAAGTGAGCAAACTCAGCTCTAAATTGAAAAACNAATATATATAGATATTATATTTAAAACTATAAGTTAATAATGACATATAACATTTTATAAATTTGAACAATATAATTATGAAATTATTTACTTATAAATGAATCACTATATAAGTTGCATAAAATATAACGACTAGTGTAATTTTTCTAAAAATTTAAAGGATCATAACCAATATATTAGATGAAAAAGTATTAACAGTATTATTCTTATTATAGAAATTATTTACGTGATTTTAAGGTTTTGCTATGCCAAATAAAAACTAATTACCTATTTAAAAAAAAATTGATGAGATAAAAGAAAAAAGTATTAATTATAAAACAAATAGCTTAAAGAAAATATTTTATGTACAACTTTTTATAACTGTCTAACTTGCATAAATCTTTTAGTGTGAATTTAAAATTAAATATTATGATGGTGGATGAAGTAATTTTCTCTTAAAATTGAACAAGACGGGATCTAAGAGCTAAGATTGAGCTTATAAGTGGGCCTGCTGGGAAGAAAGAGCCGGGCCGTCAGGACCAAATCTCTCTATGGCCCAGTTGGCGCACATCTTTCCTTTCATTATTCTTTTGTTTTCTTTATCTATCACACATATATTTTCT